GTTACAAGAATCCAAGCAAGAAATCGGTGGGGTGCAGTGGCTCATGCCTGTAATCTCAGCACTTTTGGAGGCTGAGGTGGGCGGATCAGCTGAGGTCAGGAGTTCAAGACCAGCCTGACTGACATGGTGAAACCACGTCTTTAAAAAAAATAAATAAATAATAAAATATGCTCTTTCCGCCATCTCTCCGTGCCGCCACAATGGTGCACATGAATGTCCTGGCTGATGCTCTCAAGAGCATCAACAATGCCGAAAAGAGAGGCAAACGCCGGGTGCTTATTAGGCCGTGCTCCAAAGTCATCGTCCGGTTTCTCACTGTGATGATGAAGCATGGTTACATTGGCGAATTTGAAATCATTGATGATCACAGAGCTGGGAAAATTGTTGTGAACCTCACAGGCAGGCTAAACAAGTGTGGTGTGATCAGCCCCAGATTTGATGTGCAACTCAAAGATCTAGAAAAATGGCAGAATAATCTGCTTCCATCCCGCCAGTTTGGTTTCACTGTATTGACAACCTCAGCTGGCATCATGGACCATGAAGAAGCAAGACGAAAACACACAGGAGGGAAAATCCTGGGATTCTTTTTCTAGGGATGTAATACATATATTTACAAATAAAGTGCCTCATGGACAAAAATAATAATAATAATAATAATAATAATAAAATAATAATAATTAAAAAAAAATCAACGCAACAGCTTCAAATGCAGACTAATATCCACTAGTGTACTTCATACACTCTAAGACGTCATTGATTGTAGGATATATCCTGATTTCAGAGATGTTAAAATATGCAGTGTGAATTGCATTATGCTGGGCTGAATCAGTGACTCAAATACCACAAGTGTTGGTTGTTGAAGACAGGAATTTCCGAAACAGTGAACAACTTTTGGTAAAGTTCCAAATGCAGCAAAGTACTATTTTCTGTCAATTTACCCATTAGCCTTATATTTAGACATTCCATTTATATTAAAACCATGCAAAAACAGTTCATATTTATACATAAAATGGAATGAGAGACTAGGTTCAAATTAGTATACACAAGTTTTTTAAAAATCTACGTTAATGTCGAGCAAGGCACTAAAAGTTGTGTGAAATGTAGGAAAATTCTGTAATGTATTTGCCCATACATTATCAGAAATGTAATGCCCCAGCCCACATCCTCTAAATGACCAATCATTGTGACAGTCAGAATGTCTCCCTGTTGTAAATGGATTTATAACATTGGGAAGAATCCACACCGAGACAATGGATCACTCAGCAAGGCTAATTTACTTCCTGCAGGAAGGGTGCAACTTGCCAGCAGTCTTGCCACAGGAGCACACATGAACAAAGGAGACAGGGACATTTGTAACTTTCATAACTTCGCCCTACTGCTGTGTCCAGTTTCCATTGGCCGGAACAGGACCTCACATTCTATGCTTGACCTGATTGGCTAAAAACTTGGAAATTTCCTGAATAGATAAGGGAGAAAGAAGATGAGGAAGAAGACAAGGAATAAGAGGAAGCTAAGCAGGAGAAGGTCAGGAGGATTTCCAAATTAGGAATGGCATGCACCAGGGTTTGGAGCTTACCCAGTCCTGTTCAGACATGCCAGAGCGAGCCAAGGTAGCTGATTTAAGACAGAGCTGATTTAGAGAATATATATACATGGATATATGCTTATGCTAATAGTGGATAACGGCCATACAGCAAGAGATTGTAGCTCCTTATAATGTAGTCTAAAATGCAAACTTTGAAGAAAAACTTTCCTATCTCTCACATCCCCAAGGCCGGGCGCAGTAACTCACGCCTAGAATACCAGCACTTTGGGAGGCCGAGGAGGGCGGATCACTGGAGGTCGGGAGTTGGAGACCAGCCTGGCCATCATGGTGAAATCCCATTGCTACCAAAAATACAAAAATTAGCTGGGCGTGATGGCACTCACCTGTAATCCCAGCTACTCCGCAGGCTGAGGCAGTAGAATCACTTGAACCTGGGAGGCGGAGGTTGCGGTGAGCCCGAGGTTGCGCCATTGCACTCCAGCCTGGGTAACAAGAGTGAAACTCCTCGTTTCCAAAAAAAAAAAAAAGAGTTACTCCCCAAATTTCCAAAGAGGGGCCTAGAATGTAATGCCAGCAGAGTGCATGATCCAGAAACACACTATTATGCTCCAATCAGAGCGAAGCCTGGGTCGGCTGGGTGAAGTGAGACACCCAGCACCTTAGTGAAGACACCTGTAGCCTCAATGTGCTGCAACTCTCCCACCACCAGAGGGAGCTAGCCTTGGGATGAGGCTTTTATACCTTGTTATGCAATATAATTTTTTCTTTTTTTATTATTATTTTTTAAATATGTTTTCCTTTCGGATGGTCCAGGTGAATATTTTTTTTCAGATGGAGTTTCATTCTTCTTGCCCAGGCTGGAGTGCAATGGCACGATCTCAGCTCACTGCAACCTCCGCTACCCAGGTTAAAGCAATTCTTCTGCCTCAGCCTCCCAAGTAGCTGGGTTTACAAGTGCGTGCCACCACATCCAGCTGACATTTGTATTTTTAGTAGAGATGGGGTTTCACCATGTTGGCCAGGATGGTCTCAAACTCCTGATCTCAAGTGATCCACCTGCCTCAGCCTCTCAAAGTGCTGGGGTTACCAGGCATGAGCCACCATACCCATCCTATCCCATTGTTTTGAAATGCCATTTTTACATTTTCAGTTCCCACTCTAAGACTCCATAGTATATGGATTAGCTTTTGGACTTTGTTTTGTTCTATTTTTTTTTTCTACCCATGTGGCAGTGCTTCTCATAATTCTTTTCTTTCTTTCAAATTTTTCTAGGCTTATCTCACATGTGTGTTTTCAGATGAACTTTAGAAACAATTTTACAAATTTTAAAATATCTATTGGATTTTGTTTGGAATTCCATTGCAATCTAATATTAATATGTGAGGATGTGATTTGTTTTTTAGTTGATTTATATATTGAGTTTTCCCTTCCATAAATATGTCTATTATTCAAGTTTTATTTTATGTATTTCAGCAAAATTTTTGTATTTTCTGTAAAGGTCTTACACATTTTACATTGTTTTATCAGAGGTATTTCAGAGCTATTGCTATTACTGTAAATCAAGTATTTTTCTAACTGGCATAAGGGGTGTGTGTGTGTGTGTGTGTGTGTGTTTATAAACATATTGCTACGGTTTGAACATGTGTCTCCTCCAAAATTCATGTGGAAACTTAATCCCCATTCTGGTGGAATGAAAAGGTGAAGCTTTTGTGGAGGTGATTCAGCCACAAGGACTCCTCATGAATAGATTAATGTCCTTATAAAAGAAGCTTCAGAGAGAGTTTGCTCCTTTTCTGCCCTCTCAGCTTCCACCATGTGAGGATACAGTATTTGTCCTCTTTGGAGGACACAGCAACAAGGCGCCATCTTAAAAGGAGAGAGAGCAGCCTTCACCAGACATCAGACCTGCCCCTTGATCTTGAACTTCCCAGCCTTCAGAACTGTGAGACAGAAATTTCTATTATTTGTAAATGACCCAGTTCTCAATATTTTGTGATAGCAACACAAAAAGACTAAGACATACACATAAAGTATATATCCACAGCCACCCTACTGAACTAATATTATTTTCTTTCTTGACATTTTCTCAGTAGATAACCAAATAGTCTCCAAATAATGATTTTTTAAACTCTCTTTCAAAAGTTACATCCTATTGCATTAGCTAGGCCTTCCAGAAAAACTTTTTTTTTTTTTTAAATTTAAAAATAGAACTAGTGGCTGACATCTTGACATCTTTGTCTTGTTTCCTTCCATTTTTTCTTTTTGAGAGAGTGTCTCCTTCTGTCACCCATGCTGGAGTACAGTGACATGATTTTTCCTCACTGCAATCTCCACATCCTGGGCTCAAACAATCCTCCTGCCTCAGCCTCCCAGGCAGCTGGGATTACAGCTGGGATACACCACCACAACTGGCTAATTTTCAAATTTTTTTGTAGAGATGGGGGTCTCCCTATGTTGCCCAAGTTGGTCTCAAACTCCTGGCCTCAACTGATCTGCCTGCCTTAGCCTCCCAAAGTGCTGGGATTACAGGCGTGAGCCACCGTGCCCAACCTCCTTCCTTTTGTTAACAGCAGTTTTCTTGAGATACAATTCACTTACCACAAAAATCCTCCCACCTCAGCCTTCTGAGTAGCTGGGATTACAGGCATATGCCAATACACCTGGCATGACAATTCAGTGTCTTTCAGAAAGCTGAGATGGATCCTAAAGTCACTAGCAGCTGGAGGCTATCAATCAACTACATTCCTTGTAGCTAAATGGCAAGTTTTCTTTTTTCCTTAATAGAGTCAGGGCAGGCTGGGTGAGGTGGCTCATACCTGTAATCCCAACACTTTGGAGGGCTGAGGTGGGAGGATGGATTGAGTCTAATGGTTCGAACCCAGCCTGGGCTACATAGTGAAACCCCGTCTCTACAAAGTATACAAAAATGGGCCAGGTGTGATAGCACACCTGTAGTCCCACCTACTTGGGAGGACAAAGTGGGAAGATTGCTTCAGTCCGGGAGGTCAAGGCTGCAGTGACCTGAGATTGCGCCACTGCCCTCCAGCCTGAGTGACCCAGGAAGACACTGTCTCAAACAAATAAAAAAAATGTAGAGTCAGGGAGTCTCACTATGTGGCGCAGGATGGTCTGGAACTCCTGGCCTCAAGTAGTCCTCCTGCCTTGGCACCCGTATAGCTGCCATATTTGTATTGTGATTTTTTTTTCTTTTTTGAGAGAGAGTCTTGCTCTGTTGCCCAGGCTGGATTGCAGTGGTGTGATCTCAGCTCACTCCAACCTCCGCCTCCCAGGTTCAAGCGATTCCCTGCCTCAGCCTCCTGAGTAGCTGCGATTACAGGCGTGGGCCACCACACTCAGCTAATTTTTGTATTTTTAGTAGAGATGGGGTTTTACCATGTTGGTCAGGCTGGTCTCGAACTCCTGACCTCATGATCCACCTGCCTTGGCCTCCCAAAATAACTGTTTGTATCCCCCAAAGTGCCTAGCACAAAATTCTTGCCCATGGTAGAATCTCATTAAATATGTGTAAAATAAATTAGTAAGTGCCTGCTCATTGATTTTGGGACCTTTAGATAATTTGAGGTAGAAAAGTATGTAATACAGTCCTTACAATACAGCCCACATTGATAAATGTTTAACAACTGGCTTTTGGGAGTACTGATTTCTAGTATTTGCTGATTTACAGTTATAAATACTCCCACCATGGTCAATTTCCAGCTGCCCACATAACATTAGCAAGGATGCAAAAATTCCTGAAAATTTAACCATCAGTTTTCTCAAGCTGATACAAGCCAGCTCCAGCACCACTGGTCCTTACCTTCAAAGAGTTTTTGTATGTGTTTTTCCTTTGGATTTTTATTTATTGAAAGATAAAATTAGAATAATATTAAAGTTTTAAAAGGTAATTCACCGGTAATTCAACTACTCTAAACCCACATAACTTTATTTTTTTGTGTTCCCTTTCAGTCTTTGCTTCACACATGCATATTTTAAATAGTGTATTCATCCAATTTTTAAAAATATTGTGACAAATTTTAAACATATGCAAAGTAGACCGAATAAAATAATGAGCCTCATGTACTAGTACACAGCACCTTAAAACATTTACCTGTCACCAGTCCTATCCCATCTGCATCACCAGCTACTTGCCCCACCCACATACTCACTGTTTGAAACAAATTCTGGACATCATATCCTTCCATCTGTAAATATTTCAGTAGTAACTCTATCATTTTTCATTCAGCTTTCTCCACTTGTAGCCTAAGAAGACAAAGACATAAATAATTCAACTAAAACATTTTTAAGTATTCCAGTATTGGCAGTAAGAGTTGATTTGGGGGGCAAAGGGGGACTGTATAAAAGCTACAGCATCCGGAGAGCTTTATTATTGAGTCTTTTCATTTTATCCCAACCCTGCTCTGTGTGGCAAAGTGCAGGAGAATCCCATTAAAATTCCATGTGTTATCAAATACACAACAATGTAACATGGATTGAAGTCATCATCAAAACAAATTTTAGGCCAGGCACGGTGGCTCATGCCTATAATCCCAGCACTTTGGGGGGCCAAGGTGGGCAGATTACAGGGTCAGGACCTTGAGACCAGCCTGGCCAATATGGTGAAACCCCATCTCTACTTAAAAAATACAAAAATTAGCCAGGCATGGTGGCACATGCCTGTAATCCCAGCTACTTGGGAGGCTGAGGCAGGAGAATCACTTGAATCCAGGAAGCAGAGATTACAGTGAGCCGAGATCGCACCACTGCACTCCAGCCTGGGCAACAGAGTGAGACTCCATTTCAAAAAAAAAAATTGTGGTAAAAATATCTAACATAACTTTTGTTTGTTTGTTTGTTTGTTTTGAGAAAGGGTCTCTCTTGCACAGGCTAGAGTGCAGGGGCACTGTCACTTGACTTCCCAGGCTTACGTGATCCTCCCATCTCAGCCTCCTGAGTAGCTGGGACTAAAGGTGCACACAACCACACACAGCTAATTTTTTTTTTTTTTTTTTTGAAAGACAGGGTTTTGCCATGTTGCCCAGGCTGGTTTCAAGCTCCTGGACTCAAGCCATCTACCTGCCTTGGCCTCCCAAAGTGCTGGGATTACAGGCGTGAGCCACCATGCTCAGTAACATAGAACATCACTTTACCGTTTTAACCATGTTTAAGTGCACAGTTCAGCGGCATTAAGGGCATTCACACTGCTTTGCAATCTCATTTGTGGCCTTTAATGGTACCTTTCGCATCATAGATCTACAGGGTCTGGAGCAGAGGGAGATCGTTACATACTAAGGTATGCAAATCCAACTATTGGAACTTCGCAAACACAAAGTTAGGGAAATAGAGCAAAATAGGAGATAGGAGAGAGAAATGAACAGAGCAGGCAAGGCCCTCCTCTCTGGCACTCAGTGAAAGTGCCCCCCAAGTGAACAAGAAAGGTAAGCCTCAGGCACCCACAGGAACCTTCTGCTTCTCATAGTCGGACATCTCTCCAGGCTGAGGGGGATTCTAAATTTAAGATTTGTGTTTTGCTATAATACTGCACCAAACACAAGCCAAGTACTTTTCCGATTAGTAATATTATCTGAGAAAACAATGATCTGCCCTAATGCTAGCAGAAAAACTGGGTGAGAGTTAATAAAAGGTTGGGAGAGCTTGAGGCCTTCTAAAAGACTTCCCAGGGCAATTTTTACTTTATTCCATGTCCATCTATATGCTGACCTTTGGACTTCACTAAGGTGAGATACTGCCCCCTGTACATTTGCCTGGATTGCAGTAGTACAGCATTAACTTTTTTTTTTTTTTTT